TAACTAATTTTATGCAGGGTGATTGGGCTTCTTGAACGCGAGGCGAGGAAGAATGTATATCGGTAAGAATGTGATGTATGGGTTGTTTATAACATTGCATCAGAGATGTGGAAAAGTCTCAATATACAGTGGGTTCTGCGGGCCCAAAACTTCCTATGGAAAGAAAATCTAGGCCCCAAAAGAGGTTAAACTCGACAACACGACTTTAGTCACAGCATTCCTGCGAAACATTGAAAATAATTCGATAGCGAAACGTCATAATTGAATGCAGTCGAGGAATAATTATTTTATATTAAAGAAAATAATTGAATGTTAAGGGCAGAAGCAGATTCTCGAAATAAAAGACAGTAGAATTGCGCGGAAGCGTTTGACTCATCAGGCAACTCACAGTCGCGCTCGTCGCTGGTGTCGCCACAGTCGTTGTCTCCGTTGCACAGCCACGTCTCGATTATGCAGCGGCCGGAGTTGGCGCACTTGAACTGATCAGAGCGGCACACGCCTGCAATCACGAGTAATGCGGTAAACAATTTTCAAATCCTAATTAAAAAATTATATTGTGTTCATTCATTTTTTGTCGTCACAAAGTCGACAAAAAATTATATTGTGTTCATTAATTTTTTTTCGTCACAATAATGCTTATTCATTTAAGTTATTGTTTTAATTAATTTCTAAATAAAATTGATTTATCTCAATTTTATTTATTACGTTCAATTGATATAATTGATTACGTAGTAACTAGTGACGTAATAAGTGACTCAGTGACGTAACTACATAGAGAGAGTGTGGTGAGCGTGTGTGTGGTGAGCGTGAGTGTGGTGAGCGTGAGTGCGGTAAGCGTGAGTGTGGCGAGCGTGAGTGTGGTGAGCACAACTTCCTTACCGATAGAGTACAAGCTGTCAATGTGATGACACACACTAACTGACTCATTACATCAGCCGTGTACTCACAATGCTTCTCATCACTCCAGTCCCCGCAGTTGTGCCTGCCGTCGCATTCCCAACGCTTGGGGATGCATCTGCCGTCGCCACACACGAAATGGTGGCCGGTGCAGCCTGCGATGAATCAAGGAAGTCGTGAATGTTGGGCTAACTAATTAACATAAATTGATCGGGCTTAGCATAATTAACATAAGTGATCGGGCTTCCTGTACGCGAGGCGAGGAAGAATGTATATGGGTAAGAATGTGATTTATGTGTTGCTTATAATTTCGCATCAGAGGTGTGGGAAAGTTTCAATATGCAATGGATTCAGCGAACCCAAAACTTCATGTGGAAAGAAAATCCAGGCCCCAGAAGAGCGACGTATTGCTCGTCGTTCGACAACTCGCCTTTAATCATTGCATGCTTGCGAAACATTGAAAATAATTGGATAATGGAACGTTATAATTGAATGCAGTCGAGGAATAATTCATTTATATTCGTGAAAATAATTGAATATTGGAGATCCAGAAAAGGGTGGTCCACGGAGGAGTGATACAGGTAAGGTGGCTCAGGGAGTGGTGATCCAGGAGGGGTGGCCCAGGGAGGACGGCCCAGGGGAAGGGGGTGATCTAGGGAGGATGGCCCAGGGAGGGGGGCCATGGGAGAGGTGATTCAGGGAAGGGTAGCCCAGGGAGGGATGACATCATTCAACACACATCATTAATGTATATTCAATAATATTTTATTGCTTACGATTGATCGATATAATTGATTGCGTCGTAACTAGCGGCGCAATAAGCGACTCAGTGACTTAACTAGTGGCACAATATGTTGTTGTTGCAAGCCATTATGGTTGGATGCAGTCGAGGAATAATTATACTTAATATGTTTGTTATTCGAGAAAATAATTGAATGTTAAGAGCAGAAACAGATCCTCTTATTAACTCTAAATAAAAAACAGTAGAATTGCGCGGAAGCGTTTGACTCATCAGGAAACTCACAGTCGCGCTCGTCGCTGTCGTCGCCGTCGCCACAGTTGTTGCGTCCGTTGCACAGCCACGTCTCGATTATGCAGCGGCCGGAGTTGGCGCACTTGAACTGACCAGCGCGGCACACGCCTGCAATTACAAGTAATGCGGTATAGAATTTTCAGATCCTAATTAAAAAATTCTAAAGGTTGTTTTCATTTATTCGTGGTCCAAAAGTATTTGTTCTGCATCAATAATGTGAAATCATTGATGCAATTATTTTAATTAATTTTCTCAATAAAATTGATTTATCTCAATTTTATTTCTTACGATGGATTCTTATAATTGATTGCGTCGTAACTAGTGACGCAATTAGTGACTCAATGACCTAAATAGTGACACAATAAATGAACTACACCTAACTGCAAAAAGAGAGTGTGGTGAGCGTGAGTGTGGTGAATGTGAGTGTGTGGTGAGCGTGGAAAAGGTGAGCTAAACTGTGGTGAGCGTGATTGTGGTGAGCGTGCGTGTGGAGAGCGAGAGCGTGGTGAGCGAGAAGAGCGTGGTGAGCTTGAGTGTCATGAGCGCGAGTTTGGTGAACGTGAGTGTGGTGAATGTGAGCGTGGTGAGCGTGAGCGTGGTAAGTGAGGGCGTGGTGAGCGAGAGTGTGGTGAGCGTGAGTGTGGTGAAAGCGAGTGTGGTAAGCGTGAGTGTGGTAAGCGTGAGTGCGGTAAACGTGAGTGCGGTGAACGTGAGTGTGGTAAGCGAAAGTGTGGTGAGCGTGAGTGTGGTGAGCGTGAGTGTGTGATTAGAGTGTGACTTTCCTACTAGACGTCGTCGGGATAGGACGTACGTGTCGCGGCCAGCTCTCAGTGAAGTAAACAGTTGACGATTGTTTTTCTTTGATGACCAGTTGTTAATTAATTGTACAGACTGAGCCTGAGAGATGTAATTCAGCGTTTCGGCGGAAAATAAGGGAAGTCAGTAAAAAAAGAGTATAATTTGTTCAGTGTGAAAGTGTTCAGAAAACGACTCTTTTATACATACATGCAAAAGACCCGAAAAAAAATAACAGAGCCGTAGAATGAAATTATAGCATTCAATACCTGATTCAGTGAAGTGTTTACATTAAGTGTCAAGTGTTTTGCATTAAATCACTGAAACAAGTAAGAGTGTTGAGCTGTAGTAAGAGAGGGAAGAAGCAAGTGTGCTTGAAGCGAAGGTATTTATAGCTTACTTCCTGCCGAGCTTACAGCGCGGCCTGGGAGCCGAGCGTTACAAACCCAGGGTTCTTGCGGTCAGAAACTGAGCTCAGTGTAAGGCAGGTTATCCAGTGTAATAGTGTAAAATATTCAGTGTAATAGTATAATAAGAGAGACATGGTAAGATGGCTAAGTGTGTTGTTACGCAACCGGATAGTTCCTGCATCATTTGCAAGGAGCTTTGATCTAACATTAATATGTTTGTGCGACTCTGTCANGTAGGCCCGCTTAAGGATAACGAAGTCATTGTCGAAGATGACCATGGCATGTGTAAGTTACTGGGATCACAGTTTGAATCAGTGTTCAGTAACCCTCGCTACTCAAGGGAGGAAAATGAAATTGAAGTTCTCCAGGATCTGCCAGGCGGTAGAGGGGTGGAGAACATTGAGTTTGGATCAGAAGACATGGAAATAAGTATCAAAGAACTGGCGACGTTTTCAGCGGCAGGACCCGACGGAATTCCGGCAGTGCTGTTGAAAAAGTGTGTTGGAGCACTGAAACCCAGTTAAAATTTAGAGCAGGGAATCGAGCAGGCCGTCGCCGGCTGCAGAGCCGACATAGAGACGCGACAGAGTCGCGATAGAACCAGCCGCATAGCAGCGCTAATTAACCTCTGATTACCTGTCCAGGTGTGCTCTGTCCTGCCGACACGCAGCCTTCACTGAGCACCGCCTGCCCAAACCAGCCCAACACCCGCTCTGGGGCGGCTCTGGCAGTGTACGCGGCAGTTACGCGTTACCGTTTGTCAACAACGATTTAAAAATTTGTTTTCCTTCTCTCTCTGAGATCGCCTAGACGTCACTCTTGCAATGACAGGTTGTATTGACATTGGTGTTTAACATTCACATCGTATCGACTTAAGCAACGCTATTTGGAAACTAACAAATTCAATTCTCGAGGAAATATATACATCAAATTACTTACCGCTGTGAACTATCTGCAAACGTCGACGGCAGCTCCGAGAATCGAACGCAGATCCTCCGCATCGTAGTCCACGCCTGTACCAGCTTGCCACGCGAACACCTTACCAGCCTAGGCTCTATGAACTACTTAACTATAATACAGGATAAATGATTCACGTTCATCTAGCAAATCGAGGAATAGCTATTTATACGGTTGAAGTTGATAGATATTATTCATAATGCACTAATTTCAAAAAATGAACAAAGTAGCCATTCGTATGATCCCGTCAGTTAGATGTAAGTGAATATTAGAGCCAAATTTGTTTAGTAATTTATCTTATTGCATTGGCTTCATGTCATTCGATATTTTGTTAGGAAAATTAACAACGTACTCAAATCATTAGTCAGCTGAAATCGAAAGTTTTCCAAAAGTTTTAATGCAAAGAGAGCGCCAAATAAATTCACCCTATCTTCAATGAAAACGTTTCGGAGACCAGCACCGAAACGCAAGGAAATTCGATCAATTTTATGAACTGATGATGGAGCTGGTTTACACATTTTCATTGAAAATATGGTGAATTTGGTATTTTCTTTGCTCAAACATTTACTGTTATTAACGCGTTTTCTGTAAATCCATGTTAGAAAACTTTCTCATGATAAACTGATTGATATATCGCTTTAGCAAAGCATGAATGACCGTCAACGTTTCTGTTTGCGTGTTAAAATTCTTACGTAATTCAAAGTATGAAAATGCTGACGTGAAATAAATATTATAACGGGCACCAGAAATTTACCCAAAATATCGTACTATGCGAATGAACTAGATGGAGGATGAAGTTCATTCTCCCGCCACTGTCTCCAACCACTACCCCTCCTCCCTCTCTCAAAACCCCCCTTGCACAGCCTGCATAGCTGCTCTGTTCAGCTTGCTGCCGGGCAATCCAAGTACCAGCGCTACGACAGCGCACCGTTTCGTCCCTGCCGAGCTGTTAGAATTTGTCTCTGTATTAGCCATGGCGCAGCGCAGTTTTAGGGATAGGGGGCCAGTTATTGTTTCACGGCTCCATCCTGCTAAAGCGCGACCAACCCGGCTAAACCCAGCGCCGGTCTCGGCTCAAAATTTTAACTGGGAGGCTCTGCTCACAAAGCTCTGGAAAGCCTCAATAACATAGGGAATTATCCCTGAGGCTCTCAAAGTGGGACTGATAACGCCAACCCACAAAGGAGGTCCGAGGGGCAGACCCCAAAATTACAGACATGTGACCTTGGCCTCACATGTGATCAAAGTTTTTGAGAAGGTAGTGGTCAGGAGGCTTGTCCGGTACATGGAAGAGGTTGACCTGTACAATAACGGACAACATGGCTTCCGGCGTAATCGTTCCTGTTTGTCGCAGTTACTGGAGGACCATCACCGTCTTGTGGCCCAGCTGGAGGAGGGAGCTGGCGTGGACGTGGTATATCTAGACTTAGCTAAAGCTTTTGACAAAGTTGACCATGGCGTGCTCTTTGGAAGGCTAAGGCCGTTGGGGGTAGGAAGAAGCCTGTTAAGGTGGATCCACAACTTCCTTACAGATAGAGTACAAGCTGTCGCAATTGGACTTACGGATAGAGTACAAGCTGTCGCAATTGGAAACTCGAAATCAAGAGAAGCGAATGTGAAAAGCGGAGTTCCGCAGGGCTCAGTGCTTGGACCGATCCTCTTCCTCATCCATATTGCCGATATTGACTCAGAACTCACATCGTCATTTGCGGACGATACAAGAGTGCTGATGAAGATCACAGATGACCTAGACTGCGAGAGGTTGTAGGATGACCTATCGTCAATCTACGATTGGGCCCTAGTGAACAATATGCACTTCAACGGCACCACGTTCGAAGTAATGAGATACAGAGTCCGCACAGAGATCGGGATGCCACATCGCTACTTAGCATCAGATGGCACAGAAATTGAGGAGAAGCAACTTGTTCGAGATCTCGGAGTGTTGATGCGTACTGAAGCCACGTTCGATGCCCATATGGAGGGAATAATCGCGCGCAGCCGGCAACGGATGGGGTGGATATGGCGGACATTTCGAACGAGAGAAGCAGCACCAATGATTACACTCTTCAGAGCCCTCGTGTTCCCCAATCTTGAGTATTGCTGCCAACATTGGTCGCCACTCAAGGAGGGTGCGGTGCGGAAACTGGAGGCAGTGCAGCGAATTTTCTGTTGCAATTCAGTGGTGATGTTTAGATTTGTTCATGATTATGGTTATCAGTCTATAATTTATTTATCTGGCTTACGTAATATTCTGTTTTTGTTGCTCAAATATTGCTAGTTCAAAATTTTCGCTTATTTTTTAATTTCAGAAAGGCTCCGAATCTTGAGACCGAAAGTAAGAACTTGAGCAAAGGGAACGCACGGTTATATTGTTGTTTTTATTTGTATTTGTCGTTTGCTTATTATAGTTTTCATTTATCGTTCTTATTCATCCCTTTTTTACCACTATACCCACGAAACTGCTTCTAGATATTCTACAAATTTTTCCGATGCATCTTCACCATTATATAACTCCAATTTTGATTACCTATCATACTCACATTTAGTATAGCAACAGAAACTATTAGGCTCATGTTTTTGAATATTCCGCGTATAATTCGACTTAGGGTCTGGCTGACCGTAACCAATACCTACCAAAGTCGATTCAAAATCAGCGTAAATTACGAAGGGATGCTTGATAGTCTTTTGAAAGGCCTTGAATTTTAGTTTCTCATCACTATAAACATATTTGACGGGTGTGTGAACAGAGCAATCATCTTTATGTTTTTCAAGTAGGTCTTCACGTATAAATGCATGCAGGCNGCCATGCGTCACCGTTGATCTACAGTACCCCCTTCTATTAACCGTTTTCTAAGAATATTACGGTTTTCTTTCTTTTTAATCACCGATAGCATTGATGTCGGTGGCGCATGCCATGCGTCACCGTTGATCTACAGTACCCCCTTCTATTAACCGTTTTCTAAGAATATTACGGTTTTCTTTCTTTTTAATCACCGATAGCATTGATGTCGGTGGCGCATGCCATGCGTCACCGTTGATCTACAGTACCCCCTTCTATTAACCGTTTTCTAAGAATATTACGGTTTTCTTTCTTTTTAATCACCGATAGCATTGATGTCGGTGGCGCATGCCATGCGTCACCGTTGATCTACAGTACCCCCTTCTATTAACCGTTTTCTAAGAATATTACGGTTTTCTTTCTTTTTAATCACCGATAGCATTGATGTCGGTGGCGCATGCCACGCGTCACCGTTGATCTACAGTACCCCCTTCTATTAACCGTTTTCTATGAATATTACGTTTTTCTTTCTTTTTAATCACCGACTGACGTAAGACCTGCAAAAACCTCAGGAGGTGCCTGGGATCGAACCCTGGGGTAGCGACTACCAAGACGCATCGTTAACCACTCAGCTATCGAGGTCTTACACCCCATATGTAAAATCTTACTTATGAATTCCCGAAATTCGTTTGTAATGAATTTTCGGATATGACTCGCGATCTCTTGAAGGAAAACGCTCCATACGAAGACTTGCTATAATGGGAATGATTTTTTCATCTTGGAAGAGGCGGAATTTATATAATTATGAATTACTCAATATTATTTATATAGATCGAATTCGATCTATATTTGACGATATATTTGAGTGAATTAGACGGTGATGATAGCTTTTGTTTCAAATATGTATTTCATATCCATTGTGCAACAAGATTTTTCTCACTTGCATGAAACTTATTCTATTAAGTGGGGTAAACGAGTTAGTAAGATCAACTAAATAGGACTCACATTTTGCTTGCAGGGTAAATAAAACATGGTAATGAATCAGTGAGTGTACTGAAATGATTTTTTACACTCGATGTAGAGTCAGATGCATGATTTTTCATCAAGAATGCAGTGCACACTACCACATCTGCTGTGGCAGTCAGCAATGCAGTGAGAGGATCGGGAAATCCCGTTGAAGGCTGACCATGACATGCTTCGTTCTACATCCCTAACTGCTTGCGTAGGGCTGCTGATGATCTCACTCCCACTGTTTGCTTAAATCCGGATGATTTTTAAACAGGTTGGTTATCTGCTTTTGCTTCCTGAATAATTTATTCAGAGATTTCGACACGTCCATTAGTTTCCGATATTTATAGCCAAGCTTTCCTAGCCACCGGAGTCGATTGGCGTGTGAAATACTTATATCAAATTGCTCTGATAAAACAGTTTCAAGGGATGTTTTGACCCTTTCACATATTTGTTCATTCTGATGTTTTTCACAGAATCGATCCAGAAAATGCCCAAACACAATTTTAGTTTTCAAGTAACTGTTTTTTTCTGATTTTACTGCACTCTTTGCTTTGGATAAAAATTTGAGTAGTTCAACATAATCATCACACATATCATCAGATTGATCAGGAAATGGTATTTTATTCTCAATCTTGATCTTCATTAACCATGAGTTCGTGTTTGAGGCTTTTCTATATTTATTCTTTTCACTCTTTTCCCTACCTTGAAAAGATTTTTTGCGTACGGTTTAAGTGGTTCGGGAATTCCAATTGCATTTTTGACGATCCAATCTTGAATTTCTTCATATTTTTCTTTATTCGATAGAGCTAAATCAATCACAGACTCAAAGACCTTCAGTTCTTCCTTAGCTTTTTTCAACGTATTAATTTGTTGCGTTGATAGCGTGCTCATTATGTACTTATTTACTCTGAAGATTCTTCCGTACGAGATCAATAAGTAGGGATTGACTTCTGAAATTTTTCTTCCACAGAAATTATGTCCGCCATCACTTTTTACCTCGAATTTTCACAAAAATGTGGGAATGGTGATCTGATGCTGTTGTTCTCCGAGGTGGTAATGTCTCACAATGAGCATGAGTACCTCTCTATAAAGTGTTACTCGCGCGATATTATATAGACAACACCCATTCCCTGTGAGCGATTTAACGTGCTTTGTGAGGGGCTCCGTAAATGAATCGTGGGAAAGGGGCGTTTGCTCTGTATAAATAAATGAATTGAGCTGGTGATATACCCTAGCAGTACACTGTATCGGCATTCAGGATTACACTGTAAGAAATTATATATTCCACAGAAGTATTTTTCAGGCATCCGCTCAAGGTTAAACTCTGAGTTTTCGGTTAAAGAGTGCAGTAAAATCGGGGTAAATGGTCGTTAACTCGTGATTCGGGAGTAATTGGTTAATTTTGTTGGGTAAGATTCGGGGTAAATGGTTGTGGTGACCTATGATTTAAGCTGTTTATACAAATTCGGGGGTAATTGTTCGTAGTAATATTGAAGGAGGTTTTTCAGGGGTAATTGGGTAATTTTGTTGGGAAAGAATCGGGGAAAATGATTGTGGTGACCTATGATTTAAGCTGTTTATGTAAAGTGTTGTGGCAGGCTCACAGTATATACTACTGAAGGGATTTCAGGGAAAGGTGGTCCAGAGAAGACCATTACACACACTTGGCCATCATATTAATTTAATACCTACGCCGACTCACGATGTGATGACACACACACTTTCTGACTCATCACATCAGCCGTGTACTCACAATGCTTCTCATCACTCCAGTCCCCGCAGTTGTTCCCGCCGTCGCATTCCCAACGCTTGTGGATGCATGAGCCGTTGCCGCACACGAAATGGTCGCCGGTGCAGCCTGCGATAAATCAAGGAAGTCGTGAATGTCGGGCTAACTAATTAACATAAATAACTAATTTTATGCAGGGTGATTGGGCTTCTTGAACGCGAGGCGAGGAAGAATGTATATCGGTAAGAATGTGATGTATGGGTTGTTTATAACATTGCATCAGAGATGTGGAAAAGTCTCAATATACAGTGGGTTCTGCGGGCCCAAAACTTCCTATGGAAAGAAAATCTAGGCCCCAAAAGAGGTTAAACTCGACAACACGACTTTAGTCACAGCATTCCTGCGAAACATTGAAAATAATTCGATAGCGAAACGTCATAATTGAATGCAGTCGAGGAATAATTATTTTATATTAAAGAAAATAATTGAATGTTAAGGGCAGAAGCAGATTCTCGAAATAAAAGACAGTAGAATTGCGCGGAAGCGTTTGACTCATCAGGCAACTCACAGTCGCGCTCGTCGCTGGTGTCGCCACAGTCGTTGTCTCCGTTGCACAGCCACGTCTCGATTATGCAGCGGCCGGAGTTGGCGCACTTGAACTGATCAGAGCGGCACACGCCTGCAATCACGAGTAATGCGGTAAACAATTTTCAAATCCTAATTAAAAAATTATATTGTGTTCATTCATTTTTTGTCGTCACAAAGTCGACAAAAAATTATATTGTGTTCATTAATTTTTTTTCGTCACAATAATGCTTATTCATTTAAGTTATTGTTTTAATTAATTTCTAAATAAAATTGATTTATCTCAATTTTATTTATTACGTTCAATTGATATAATTGATTACGTAGTAACTAGTGACGTAATAAGTGACTCAGTGACGTAACTACATAGAGAGAGTGTGGTGAGCGTGAGTGTGGTGAGCGTGAGTGTGGTGAGCGTGAGTGTGGTGAGCGTGTGTGTGGTGAGCGTGAGTGTGGTGAGCACAACTTCCTTACCGATAGAGTACAAGCTGTCAATGTGATGACACACACTAACTGACTCATTACATCAGCCGTGTAACACCAGGCAACTCACAGTCGCGCTCGTCGCTGTCGTCGCTGGTGTCGCCACAGTCGTTGTCTCCGTCGCACCGCCACGTCTCGTATATGCAGCGGCCGGTGTTGGCGCACTTGAACTGATCAGGGCGGCACACGCCTGCAATCACAAGTAATGCGGTAAAGAATTTTCAGATCCTAATTAAAAAATTCTAAAGGGCGTTTTCATTTTTTCGTGATCCAAAAGTATTTGTTCTGCATCATTAATGAGAATTGATTGATGCTATTTATTCAATTAATTTTCTCAATAAAATTTATTTATCTCAATTTTATTGCTTACGATTGATTGTTATAATTGTGGTGAGCGTGAGTGTATCGTAACTAGTGACTCAATAAGTGTGATTACGTAACTAGTGACGCAATAAATGACTCAATGACGTAACTAGTGACGCAATAATTGACTCAATGACGTAACTGGTGACGCAATGACGTAACTAGTGGCGCAATATGTGACTCAATTACGTAAGTAGTGACACAATAAGTGAACTCCACGACGTAACAAGTGACGCAAGAAGTGCCCCCGTGGCGTAACTAGTGACGCAGTAAGTGTCTCGTAACGTAACTAGTGACGCATATTAAGTGACCTCCGTGACCTAACAAGTAACACAATATGTGTCACTTGTTAACTTTAATCTAACATTAATATGTTTGTGCGACTCTGTCAGCTAATTAATATAAATGTTTCTTAAAGCTAATTTTATTTGAACCTAGGCACGCAAGATCACTACACACACTTAGCCATCATATTAATTTAAAACCTACGCCGACTCATGATGTAATGGCACATACACTTACTGACTCATTACATCAGCCGTGTACTCACAATGCTTCTCATCACTCCAGTCCCCGCAGTTGTTACTGCCGTCGCATTCATAACGCTTGTGGATGCATCTGCCGTTGCCACATACGAAGTTGTCGCCGGTGCAGCCTGCGATAAATTAAAGAAGTCTTGAATGTCGGGCTAACTAATTACTATAAATTACTAATTTTATACAGGGTGATTGGGTTTCCTGAACGAGAGACGAGGAAGAATGCATATGGGTCAAGAATGTGATGTATGTGTTGCTTATAACATCGCATCAGAGGTGTGGAAAAGTTTCAATATGCAATGGGTTCAGCGGGCCCAAAACTTCATGTGGAAAGAAAATCGAGGCCCCAGAAGAGCGACGTATTGCTCGTCGTTCGACAACTCGCCTTTAATCATTGCAACCTTGCGAAACATTGAAAATAATTGGATAATGGAACGTTATAATTGAATGCAGCCGAGGAATAATTCATTTATATTCGTGAAAATAATTGAATATTGGTGATCCAGAAAGTGGTGGTCCACGGAGGAGTGATACGGGGAGGGTGGCTCAGGGGAGGGTGATCCAGGAGGGGTGGCCCAGGGAGGGTTGATTCAGGGAAGATGGCCGAGGGGGGGGGTGATCAATGGAGAGTAGCTTAGATCTAGCTCAGGGAGGGTGGCCATGGGAGAGGTGATCTAAGGAAGGGCTGTCTCTTATACACATCTATCCTTGAATACTGCTGCCAGCTCTGGACTCCGTTCACACTAGGCGCAATACGGCAACTGGAAGGAGTCCAACGAACCTTTACTTCCAGGATCAGAGGGATGGAGAA